CACACACACACACACACACACACACACACATTCCACTCTCTTGCTTTGTCAGTCTCTCCTTGATTAGCATCCCAAACATCGTCACGGCAGCTCTCCTCACATCGAAAGCACAAACTGGTAGCATTCATTTTACAGTCTTCGAACAGGCAAAACAGACATGCAGCGCTCATAGACACGAAAATCATGGAAAGATGCTAAGAAGAAAGAAGGAAAGATGTCCTTTGGGACATCCATTAACATGAAGCGTCCATACGTATATACAGTACTATACACAAACAATATGTACACATATATAGGTGTGATTGGTCAAATTGCGAGGACAGGGGTAGATAGATATAGGTGATTGAGATGCATGTTCCCTTCCGATCGGAAGTTCAAATTTTCTGAGGCAGGACAGGAGAATCTGATCTGAGTTTCAAACCTCAAGCGGTCGCTATCAGCTTTTAGATAGGTGTGTGATGTGGTGCTGTATGTTCCTTTCCATCGCAAGTTCCGACTTTTTTGGAGTCAGATCCTAGGATTCGAACTCAGGCGACGCTGACCAACAGCAGCTTCTGCGATGGGAGGACAGGGTTAGGTAGGTGATTGCGATGGGAGGACAGGGTTAGGTAGGTAGGTGATTGCGATGGGAGGACAGGGTTAGGTAGGTAGGTGATTGCGATGGGAGGACGGTTAGGTAGGTAGGTGATTGCGATGGGAGGACATGGTTAGTCAGGTGATTGCGATGGGAGGATGTTCCTTCCGCGATCGGAAAAGTTCAACTTCGAATTTTCTGAGGCAGGACAGGAAAATCTGATCTGAGTTTCGAACTCAAGCTGTGGCTAACAGCTTCGAACTCAATCGAATTTTCTGAAGTAGGTGTGATTGTGGTGCGGGAGCTTCCTCCTTTCAATGGGGAGTTGGAATTTCTTTGGGAGTTAGGAGATCTGCAGATTACAAGACCAAAAACAATTCGAGGCACGCGCTGCTGATCAATGTTTTTTTTGGATTTGAACTCTCCTCAGATCCTCATCAGATCTCCCGACTCCCAAAAAACTCTCAAGGCACACGCTGCTGCTGACGAGACGGGAGATCTGAGGATCTGCAGACAAAATTTTTGGATTTGAACTCTCCTCAGATCCTCTGATCTCCTGCACCCAAAAAAATTCGAGGCACACCGCTGCTGACCCATACAATACTTTTTGCCAGCTCTCTCTCGCAATTAATTAATCACGTTTTTTGTTTTTCATTATTATGGGCCTCGCTGCACTACTCTCGAAATGTGCAAAACGAGAGTGAATCTTCCGCTAGAATACGGAAAGATACACCGCCTATATTTTTGTCTTTTGTGCATGTCGAGAGTAGTGCAGCGAGGCCCTATGTTGACTTGTATCCAGGGTTAGGACTCTCGATTTGCAGCCATGACAAGTTTAGTTGGTCCCCGCCTTCCCACAATGTACCTGGTCGTAATGTAGATATGCAGTCAGGAGGAGACCTGAGGTGTCGAACTCGGGTCAGGCCGGGACAGACAGCGGAGCGGTTGGCAGTCCTGCTCAGAGTGCTTTAGGTTCGATTTGTTTTTCATTTTTCATTCCTAGTACCTAATTTCTTCCAGACTGAAAGATACCCCAAATACATTCTGTGGTACCTATAATGACCTGACCGTCCGTTGTACTCGGGGGAAGAAGGTAGCAGGAGGACTCGAACCACACCGACGACAAGTCAGCTAGGTACTGATCTATATAGCACTCCACACATTCTCTGGTACCTTCTTACCACCTTCAGCCGATTTATTATTATTATTATTATTATTATTATTATTATTATTATTATTATTATTATTACTACTACTACTATTATTATTATTATTATTATTTTTACAGTCAGCCGATTTGGCGTCAGACCGTTCTGAGTTTTTTTTTTTTTTTTTAAGGTTCGACTTAGGAGCGACTCTAAGAAGGGCATACAAACTCACACTAGGCCCTCAAAAAAACGCAAAATCGCAAATTGAGCGGCCAGATAGAGAGCCCTCTGCTTACAAGCATGCACTCGATCTGGGCGTTCATTTTGCGCTTCTGCGCATTTGATGGCCTAGTGTCAATATGCCCTAGTAAGTACATTGATCGCTAGCCCATCGATCTCTTTGGGTCCGACGGCCCTTTTTTTTATCCATCTTTTCACTTTTTTTTTTACTTTTTTTTTTTTGCTGTTGGTTTATTTTGTGCCCACTCTATGGACTGGGCCCTTGTCCCACTTGCACCGTTTAGTTGAGGCAGCTCAACCGTGCGACAGCTAAAAAAAATCATTGTAATTCAATTTCAATTTTCAAATGAGAAATGCATTTATAAATGGCACGAATACAATTGTTCTGGTTTTTCTTTTTTCACAATTGGAGTGGCATACGGGCACTTCCATTCCACAGCAGAAAACGAAGAGTGAGTTGCCAGAATCCCTTTTGTACAAAAATGGCAAACGGAAGGAGGCGGCTCGTACAGTTTCTCCAAAAAAACGCCTTTTGGAGAAAATGAAGAGGGTCCTTGAGCTAGCTGTCTCGAAAAAGGAGACAGCTAGCTCAAGGGAAAGTGGCGAGGGTAGGGGGAGTAGCATTCGAGAGAAAGGATTTACTTCTGCTTTTTGTTGTAAGAAAAAKCAAAGATAGTCTCTATTGCCTTTTTTATTAAAAACGGACCGCTAGATGACTTGGACGACGTGCATCTCCGTTGTYGCGTACAGTCACACAGCGTTGAAATAATGACSCTCCTGAAAAAAAAACCTCCTGAAAATTTTGGGCTCTGTTAATTAACAGCGCACCGCTTCTCGTCCGCCGCCGCCATCTCCCTACGGTTAGACGGTTTCTTTTTTTTTTTTTTTTTCAAGGCTAATAATTCGTTAATCCCTACGGAGAGAACAGGCGCTGCCGATGTGTACGCGAAAAACCGCCTACGTGTGAAAGTGGAGCGGCGGTTTTTTTTTTTTTTTTAAGACTAATAATTCGTTAATCCCAACCACGGATGTGGCTGCTACGCGGTTCCCCCTAATACTTATTATAACGACAACACAAAAGGAGCGGGGGGTTCCCCCTGCTACCGGGGCTGTGTCCCACTTGCATCGCTGAGCTACCTCAACGCCTGAATCTGGACGCTTTTGAGGAGATGTGCAGAAATGGTGTTGAGTTTGCTGAACTGCACATCTCCACAAACACGTCCAAATTCAGGCGTTGAGGTAGCTCAACGCTGCTAGTGGGACTTGGCCCCCTGAACTTGGCCCCCGGAACTTGGCCCCCGGGGCCATGTCCCACTAGCATCGTTGAGCAGGCGCACGATGAGCTTTCTACTACGTATGACGAAGAGTGTCTTAGGAGATGCAACACTGGCGACAAATCCATGGGTTCCAGATTTTTCTGGAAAGGCAAGCAGTTTCTATTTTGCTTGTTTTTAATAAAACATACTGAAAAATAATCATCGGTCTCGAATATAACGCCCCCTACCCTCACGTCCTACAGTTGAGCCAGCTGCCCTTTTTTTCGCGTTGTAGTCAAGTTCAACGCCCTCTTTTTCTTTTTTCCCGATTTGTCTTTTTATTTTTTATACTTACTGTTTCCGTTATCAAGTTCAACCATCGAACGCTGACGGTTGCGATATCAGCAAACCATTATTCACGGTGCTTTTGATAGGGCCTAGTTGCACTACTCGCCATCCGCCAAAATTTCGAATGCATCTGGATAGGTTCTCCATCCATGTGCATTCAAAATATTGGCGGATGGCGAGTAGTGGAACTAGGCTCATAGAAAGATGTACACCATCCGCAGCCTTCTGGTTCACGAAATAGACATCCCTTTGAACTCGACGTCATCACTGAACGCTCGTCCTCTCTCTCTCTCTCTCTCTCTCTCTCTCTCTCTCTCTCTATTGTCACATGATATGAGAGCGCCTAAGCTAAAAAACCAAAAACAACAAAAAATCTTAAATTCGTTTTTAATCTTCTTCCTTACAACTCCCCCTGTTCAGAACCTCTTGCGTACAAGGCCGCCCACGTGGATGTAGGTTGGGCGGCGGCTGCTCCCACCCCCGTGTGTCATATCGACCCACTTGCACACAGCCAAAAGGCAAAGAGGCAAAGAAGAGAGGAAGGGAACAGCCAAATGAAACAAATAGAACAGAGGGAAACAAGACAGATCCCAGATGACAAGTCCCACATGCAAGCACCGCCCGCTCCGTCAAAGGCCAAACAACGGGACAAGACCACCCAGGACAAGACGTAAAAAAGCGACGATCCACAGTGTGACAACCAAGAAAAAAAGAGAAGACAATCCCGGATGACGATTCCCACATACAGGCATCGTAACAAACAGAACTGCCCGGTAAACCGTAGGCAGAGAGAGAGAAGAGGACAACAAACGAGGGGCTGTGTATATATATAATTCCCGTTGTTCAGCCTTTTGAGCGCGGGGCGGTGCTTGTATGTGGGAATCGTCAYCCGGGATTGTCTTTTCCTTTTGGTTGTCACTCTGGGATCGGAGCTTTTTTTGAATTTTTTTGCAGACAAGAATGTTTTGACATCTCTGTTTTGTTGCCCCCTCTTCTGTTTCATTTGGCTGTTCCCTTCCTCTTTTCTTTGCCTCTTTCGCCTTTTGGCTGTGTGCAAGTGGGTCGATATGACACACGGGGGTGGGGGCAGCCGCCGCTCAACCTACATCCACGTGGGCGGCCTTGTACGCAAGAGGTTCTGAACAGGGGGAGTTGTAAGGAA